TCTGAATAAAGCACCCACCTAATGTCTAACAACTGACTTGGAGGAGTGGATGGTAAGCACTCATGGATTCAGCCACAAGGGAAACATGCAACATCATCTTCACAACACAATAATACTCCCATTAAAAGCACGGATCACACATCGGCAGTAAAGACGCTGGCCTGAGCGCCAGCCCCAGACTGCCGGGTCGCGTCTTGGTGATGTTTCCTGGGATGCCTGAAGCGCTCACTGTAACTCTGGGAAGGCTCTCGTGCAGTGGTTCTCAAACTGTGGTACGCGTACCAGCAGTGGCACGCGGAGTGCCGCCAACTGGTACGCCATATGACCCTGGAACTGTGTTGTGTGTGCTGAAAAATCGAGACTTTCTGTTCTGCAAGACGCTACCAACAGGAACTACAGGAGAGCACGTATTTCAGCTTCTGAATGAATTTATCGAAGAGAATGGCCTCGACTGGATAAAATGTGTTGGAGTTTGTACCGACAGCGCTAGAGCGATGACAAGCCGACACAGCGGTGTAGCTGCACGAATTAGAGAATTTGCTCCAGAAATGAATGGACGCAATGCAACATTCACGGCGAGACCTTTGCCATCAAGAAAATGCCTGACGATTTAAAATCTGTTAGACTCTGTTGTGCATTGTATCAGGGCTCAAAAAAATAATTCACATCGGCTTTGCTCGACTAAACAGGCTCACCCCCTCACTGAAATGGTGCTTTTATATCATTTTTATTTGTTGTTGTTACTGTTTTTTTCTGTAAATCACTTTGAGAAGCCACCTTTAAAGGCGCTATATCAAATAAAGTTTATTATAAGAATATTTATTATATGCATGTGTGAGTGTGTGTGCACGTGCGCTCATGTTGGTCATTGAGAATTTCTGGGGTTCCTATGAGATGATGACTTGTGGGTTGTACTTGGATGCTTTGGTTGGATTAGGGGTGTTACTTGGTCCAAAAAGTTTGAGAACCACTGCTCTAGTGAATACCATCAGGCCTGTCACACCAGAGGACATCGCTGATATTAGGAAGGCAGGCTTTGGAAGGTTTCAGTCTTTGGCATCCTCACGGACTAGTCATTTGCCTTATTTTTAGAAATCCAGATTGCCCTGCCCCTGTACCATAAACGCCACGTTCAAACTTCACAGCTTGAAGACTCCCGTAGACGTGGAAAAAATTTCCCAACGTGAAAGCGGTGTGAAAAAAACTTTGGAAGGCGGATTTACTTTGAACTGTAATGGAGTTTCCAAAGTGCTGAAATCAGGGGATGATGAGATCCTCTCTTCTAATGTCTGCAGGAAAACCTTCTGGAAATCAAGCATCTCGGGAAGGCTGCCGAAAAGGGACTCCATCTGAAGGAACAGCACACAGCAAAAAAAACAAACAACAAAACGCAGATATTAAGCATCTCCATTCAGAAGTTACAAGCTGAAAACAAGACCTAGATTAATTCCTTCACATAGTTAATTTGAAGAGCAAAAGTCGTTTCTGTGGAAACTTCAGATCTTTGTCTGTCCTCGCTGGGAACACAATCAACAAAAACATGTTATGGAACAGGTTTTCAAAACAGAATTCTGGTTCTAAAAAAAATAATGGAACTGAGGCGTACAGTATAACGTGTTTTTAAAACCTCTGTTCCAGCCGTTACAAAACAGCAATTATTTCTGATGTTCGTGCTGGATACTACTAATTCTTATTCAGCCTCACTCAGCACAAACATGCAATGCTTGTGACTTGGAGGAAAAACACACACACACACACACACACACAATCACTGCACTGAATTATATGTTGCCTGGATGTCATTGTTTTCTGAAGGGGGAGTCCAGAGTCCAAAGCCTTGAGCTTAAGTGCCATCCAGAGCACTGGCACAGCTCCTGCAGTGTTAATGTGCCCAGGCAGCCAAAGGATCCCCTACTCACTCCACCATATTCAGCATCACAGCTGCACTACGGCAACATTATCTCACTGGAGTTCAGCATTGTATTTCTTTACGTACTTCACAATTTAGTCATGAATACGTAAAATGTCTTATCTACAGCTTCTATAAATAGCTGCTTGCTTGTGCACATGCAGAGAAAGTGCCAGTGAGTTTTTGTGCGAATGCAAAAACAATTAGGAAAATACCCAGCATCTGTGTGCCCAAGTCCATCCAGGCTAAGTGACATCCAACCCTCTCGCTCTGTGCAGTAACCTCTCGCAGCTAACCACGGAGCAAGTATCCTGGCCTTGTGACCTCTTACCTCGTCCTGTGTGAGGAATGTCTCATTTTGTAGTGGCTTCAAGTAGATTTCAAAGAGGCAGGTGAGATCCTGTGGACCGAGAAAGGTGGAAATCACAAACTGGAAATGAAGCAAGGTCACCACCAGCTCAGAACAAATGCCTGAACACAGCGAAGAGTGGCACGCACCCCATTTAATAAGATTATGCCTGAAGAATAGCCTATTTTAATCAGAAGGCTTTCCCAGAATCCCCACATAATCCTTGTGTATTGCTCGGATGTTTCTCATTGGGCCGGTGTCCTTATTCAGAATGTGCTGAAATGGACAAAGGGACGCACAGACGAACACCGGAGCTTTTCCATCCTTCCTCAGAAAGCGGGGTGCGCCTTCCCGCCCTTTTCAAAAACACAAAATGGCACCGTCCTAACACAAGCTGCAGAATGATCCAAACTGAGCACCAAAAGTGTTACTGGGGCCACAAAGACCATGCATTTGAATCAGTTTTTAAAGAACAGAAGCGGACTCTTGCACACGGTGGCGAATCATTGCTGTAGAACATCGTTGAAACTGTGCTTTTCAATGTTAAAACGACAACAGAGCCAGATTAAATATCCCAGGTGATTCTACCTTCACGTAGGACTTCTCGGTGTCCACCAGCTCCTGGATGACCTTTCGCAGCCGCTCGGTGGCGGACATGTGTCTCGGGCAGGGCCTCAGCGCCGGCTCGCTCGCGTCTCTGGTTCCGTCCATCGCTCCCCCCGGGCCGTCCTGGAAGCTGTGGTACAGCGAGCACACCGTCTCCACGCTCTGCACGAGAGACCGGACAGGGGACTTCACTTTCGTGGGCCACAGGACCAACGGGCCCGCGCCCAGAGCACGAAGACGCGACCTGAAACTGCACGAACTCCGGCCGCTGCCGGGGCGCAATCACACGGCGCGCGCAGCAGGGCTCCCCTCACATCGTGGCGGATTTCTGGATTTAATCGGCGAAAACGTGACCAAACCGAGCAGCGCTCTACCGAAGCCCAACCCACTGCAAACGTTGTGCACAGGCTGATGTTTCAACTGAAGAGGTTGTTGAAGTACCTGCCCTTGAGAAAATGGCTTTTTCTGCCCATTTTCAGCTTCTAAAACAGACAGCAGCAGACATCAGAGATCGGCTGTTGTGTTGGCCAGGGACGCACATATCAGCCTCACCCAGCGTGTGTGGTGCAATACAAAATCAACATTTGCACGCGTGAAATGTGTATAGTGTACGTACACATGCAACAACAATTTTCAGTGTTTTAGTGCAGGGCAAATAGAACAACAACAACAAAAAAAAAGAGAACCGTTTTACAACCACACAGTTTTACAGTTTCTTAAAAGGAATGTATAATAACAGGGTTCCTTTTCGAGAAAAAGAAATAAAAATTCCTTATTGTCCACAGTCTTGGTTTATTCCTGAACTTCCCAGTAAATTACCATCTCAGCATACAGCACATGCTGAAATGGGTGGTTAATTCAGTGCACAGCTGAACATGATTTAGTGCAGGCCCTGACAGATTAAATAGTCCGTTATAAAAAGGCCAGTCATATAATTTGGGTATAATACAACACATCACATAAATATGGGACCATTACAATGGTCTGCCTGGAGCCAGTGGTTTATCGGTCCTCTATGTGGCTTCTGTAGAGACTGATGTTGAAGACAGTATACTTGGGGATAAACAGGCACACACACACAGCAGCCCTGGAAAACTACACTTGTTAACATAGAAAGAAAATTCTCACCCCTGCTACTGAAGTAGTTCTAGTCAGGCCAACAGCTGTTTCAAAGCATTCCCAGCCCCAGAGGAGAGGGGAATGCCGTTGTTAAATAATGGCATTTATAAATAATCGTAATTACATGGAAAAAGACATTCACAAATAACTGCATTGCAAAAGCAGCTTTATCGTCTTCTATATATCAAGTAAATGAAAAAGCCACACAGTGCAATGTTAAATAACACGGCCTGATCACCTGTGGAAACAGCAATGCAAACCGAGGTATTTTTATGCAATGCCTGTAAAATTTGCCAGCACAGATGGGACCACCCACTACCACTGTGGGCTGCAGTAGCTCCTAATGAGCATTAATTAGAAGCAGCTTATGCTGTCACTTCAAGCAGTGAGCTCCAGTTCCAGCAGATATTACATAAGGCACCGATGTGCCTGCAAAAAATCCCAGAAGTAGAATAGGTCACAAAATAAAGAAAGCTAACCATACTGCCCTTTTAAAGATCTGATTGCAAAGGATTTAGACGTACAGTGGTGTACAATTATTTTTTAAGTCCTAAACGAGCTCAGTATAAGGCTGTTTCTGAAGCACCGATTTTTGGTACCATCTTTAAAAGGTGAAAATGATCTGATAAGCCATCCTGCATTACCAACAAATCCAAGCAATGGTCCAGCAAACTTCACAGTCACGACATCTAATTGGCTGTGCAAGAAATTCTCCATCGCACTGTGTATTGTGCTGAAGATTCTTCAACCCTTACCGATATTTCACCTCTTGCTGTTTAAGCAATATGAAACTTTAAATGTAACCTTTAACATGGCAAAATGCATTTACACCCTTAATAGGACAGCTGAGCAAAGCCTATCAGCTGGTCCTATGTTGAGGTGCTAAAGCATCAGCTGAAACACTAACGGTTACAAAAGTCTGGAGGACTACTGGAAGGTAATATTCTCGGGATTTTCAGCCGGGCCCTCAAGGATGATAAATTGCTCACAGCTATTAAGTCATAGAAGGCTAAAACCTGCCGCAGACGTGGGAAAACTAATGAGATCTAATCTTCAGGATTCTGGAGGGTGACACTTTAATCCCCGACCGTGATGGATTCTCTCTCCTTTCCCAAATCCCAACCGTGCTGACATCCCTCTTCCTCCTCCCTTACAGAGGATGCTCAACGCTTCCCCACAAACGAGGGGAAGAGTTACTTCTTGTTTTTGGCAGCGGACCTCGAAAGCCCCAAATTCCCCACAATCCAGAGGCGACGTTCAGGCTCGGCCTCGTTGACGGAACGTGAACACCTTGGTTTCAGGCCCCCGGGTGGCCGTGCTCTCCCCCCCCCTCGAACCCTGAACGCGAACGGCCGGCGGCCCTGCCCCGCGGCGCCGGCAGCGAGGACACTCACCCTGAGCACCGCCCTGTAGATCGGCCCAAAGGCCGCCGCGGCCTGCCGCTCGGCCCTGCGAGCCAGGGAACATCCCCTCGCCTGCAGCCGGCTCCTCCTCCTCCAGCCAGGCACGGCCGCGGCAGGCGAAGGCAGCTCCCCAGCCCGGAGACCCGGCACACGCATGGCTAGCCTGGCCCCGCAGCTCCTCTGGACTTCACAGCCCTAGCGGACAGCCCGACGCGACAAGCCCTCCCCCTCCACAAGGGGAAAAACACGCCGCGGCCCAAATGAGCTATTCCTCCAGGAGAGCAGCGAAAGCCTGGTGAAGTGATCTAGGGATTGATTCTGTAGCTGTAGGCATTTTGCTAAAACTGCTGCTCCACGAATTCTGCAAATTGGCCTCGCAGGATTTGTTCTGAAACTTCCTGTGCAGAGTGAAAGGATTTCCTTCACCGCGAGAAAGAGAAGAGGCTGTAAGGGATGCTGGAGACAGAAAAATATACTTCTGCCTCTGAATAATATCATAACACAACTGCACTTACTGTGAACAAAGTGCCATGCTTTATGGACGATGTACTAGTCAGGCCTCGTTTAGAAGACGGTGTACAATTTCGAAATGACCTACTGTATAAAGTTCAGGTGGGGAGCTGCGTCAGCATGCGTAGGCTGCAAAGGAACAAGTAATTGGTTTATTCCACGCTGAAAAAAAGAAGAAAGAAAACACAACGTTTCGGCCGTGGAGCCTTCTTCAGGTGTATTTCACACCTTCACACCTGAAGAAGGCTCCACGGCCGAAACGTTGTGTTTTCTTTCTTCTTTTTTTCAGCGTGGAATAAACCTATTACTTGTTCCTTTACTGTATAAAGTGATCACCACTTCATAGAAAACATAGAAAAGCTATTGCTGCTCTGGAAACAGTCCAGAAAATGACAAAAAAAATACGCATTTTGGGACTTAAGGGACATTTTGCTGGCTTAACACAAAAAACTGATAGAATACAGAAGTGATACATCCTTGCCAAATCCCTTAACACGCAGAGGCTGAGAGAATTGAACTGTCGGAGTTTTGAAAAGAGAAGGCAAGGAGGAGAACCGAGACGAGTATTCAAAAGACACTGAGAAAGTAAACCCAGCAGGTTTCTTCAGAACCAGCAGTGAAACGAGAACTAGAGGACGCAGATGGAAACTTCTTTCCTCGGAGGGGATGTGGGAGCACCGATGAGCCAAATGGCCTCCATTCTTTTGTACTTCAATCCATAAAACTATGGCTTGAGAGAGGCATGAACTGCACAGGTCTTTCTGAAAGAAGCCCGGGAGGCTGACAGGCTGACACGAGCGGTGGGGATCCAGCGTGTGCGTGTTGGCGGGGATGGGGTGCGATGTAGTTCACCGGGGCTCTCAGGGAAACAGCGACCCCTGCTGCCCCCGGGGGCCCTGCGTGACTGCAGTGGCATCACCGAGGGCAACGCTGCCCCTCCAGGAGCCCGCCGAGGGCCAAGAGATGAAGGGCATCGTGGGAAGACAGGCTGTGAGATCCTGCCTGGTCTTGAGGGTCCAGGACCCACTGCCATGAGCAACTGGTGACTCTAAACTGGGTGGGTATGGAAGGAATACACAGGCACAACGCAGGTGTAAAAAATTATAAAATTACTATTGTTTTCCATGAATGCTGGATAATTTAGAGGCTATGTATTTGAGGGGTAATTTTCAGAGCTTTTGGTCAAGCTCTAATGTGCAACCTTAGAAAAAAGGAAACATAAGCACAGAATGCAGAAGCGATTTCTTCTTTTCATGTGAACCCAACTTAGGAAATGAAGCGGTTGCTTATTGGGGGGTGAGAGAAAGCAGAAGAATTTTTTTTTTGTGTGTGATCCAAAAACACACAGCTAGACAACATGAAAAACTGAAAGCATTCCAATTCTGGACTATTGTTTTTTCTCTCGTGCACCATCACTGTTCCCGACTCCGCCGGCCAGCCCCCAGCCTGGCGGACATCGGTCTGACAACGCTTCTTACAATCTCTTGTTCTTCGAGACACGACTTCCTTTCTATTTCAATACATCCTTGTATTTTATCCTCAAGAAAATATTCCAGGAATGATTAAAACATTCGTCAAGGCAAACGGCGAGATCACTGAAGAAAATTTAGCACAGCCAAACATACACGATTCATCGCTCTGCCCTTTTTACCAAAAGTTGTTTTAGCTGTTCATCATAGGTCTCACTTCAGAGCCAGTGAGAAGCTGTGGTTCCATTTGTCACTGACATGTAGCCCCACAACCTAAGCTTTTCACTGGAAGAAAGAAGCAGCGTTTCCACAGTAGTATAATCACTTTATAACAACTTCCACTCTGCAATTTTAGTTCTCTTTTATGAAATTCATAAACCCACAGAACCCAAATACTAGATACTATCACAAATTTGCTAGTTCACCTACTCTGACAGATAAACAAACAAACATATCATTCCTCATTAACAGGCATGAAGCTGGTTTAATGTCAATGGACTTTCTTAATGGGTCAAGCAGCATTAGCCTCTTTGCAGTGCACAAAGATTACTGTGCCTTTGTGTCTTTAAGTGGAGCAACAATCCAACGCAAACATTTTCCAGAACAGCCTCGTCTTTTGAAACGACCAATAAATATACAGTTCTTTTCACAGATGTGTCAGTCGTTACAAGCAACCCCTGCAATCTTCTTCATGAGTCACAATGATGTATTGAACCAGCAGAATTAAAAGCTATTAAAAGCAAATAGATGGAAATATTCTTCAACCTGTTATTCTTCATGCAATTACCACATGATAGCCAAAGGACATCCTAGTTTCCCAGAGAGTGAAGACGGATCATTTAGTTTTCTTCACGTAGTTCAATACCAAAAACAATGCAATTAAAATGACACAATGGACTGTATACATGCATGATCTAAATATTTCTAAAAACCGCTCAGTCCAATTGCACTACGCAAGTCAGTTTTTTTTACACACTTACGAAACTATAAAAACTGATATTTTAATTAATGAAAACTTTTAAAATCCACAAGAAAATTAATTAATAATAATACCTTACACTTCATATAGCTCTTTTCTGGACACTCCACTCAAAGCGCTTTACTACAAAATCTAACTGCTCAGGTTATTCTCTCTCTACATTATTTTATTTTTTTACGGTGTTTAACAGCTCTATGAACAGATCAAGACTTTGAATAGCATATTTTAAAAACAGCACCACAATGTCCTGTCTTGGATTTTGGATCACGAAGCTCCCAAATGAGCGAATTTACACACGCAGCAGTAAGGTTTGGATGTTCACGGACAGAAGTGCTACAAGAGTACATTACGAATGCGTAAAAAGAAAGGAGTACTGACTATACCAAAGGAATGAGAACTATACAGTACCAAAACCATGCCAAACATACCAGAAGAGGCGTCTCAGAGGACCTTCTGCAAGCCACACAGGAGGAGAGATCTTCGATCAGACACACCAGCTTATTTTTTAAGGAAAGTTTCACAGACAAAAAAGTGAAGTGCAAAAAGAAGGGTTTCGCCTCCATTTCTTCGGGCCAGAACCAGCACATCGTTAACAGGGAGTGCGCGGTCTGAGCTGGAGAAAGGGTCCGAGCAAGTAATTCAATCAAAGTGGAGAGGTAAACGCACGGCCTGGCATTTCTCCCCGTCTTTGCGGCCATTAATCCAAATTACATGACATGGCTGACGGTCTGTAGCCCATCTTCGGGAGTACTGGGACAGACGCTGAAGTGTAAGCCTGGATTAGGAGCCAGATCCACGCCATATGTTACCTGAGGGACTTCAAGCGCGTTTCGCTTCACTGCAGAGCTCTGGGCCACCACGACAAAACTGCTGGACTAGTCGGAATCCAAAAACAGGGACCGAGATGGAAAGAAAGGAATGTCCTACAGATCCCGTTTTTTAAACAGGAATCCTTAAAACTGTATAAAGCACAGAAAGAGCTAGCATTACACAAGATTTAAAAGCTATACCGTTTTACTCTGGCTGCTGAAACATTTAAAAAGGCGGCATAATCAGAAGAGAAGGACTCCGAATTTGGCTTCGACTAGTAATTAAACATTCAAGTTTATGCGAGCTTTAAAGAGAAAAATCCACATTTGGGAGACAATTCGCATTTTTCTGCTTCTCTCCTGAAAAACGCAAATGTGGACATACAGTATTTACATCTTTACATATTACATTTTAAAAAGGCAAACAAATACTTCAGCTATATAGTTAACGGAGAATTTAAATCTAGGAATGTTAGGTAAAAATTGCATAAGGCACTAGTAAGGCCTCCTTTATAATCGCTTGTACAATTTTGGTCACCACGTTAAAGAAAAGACACTGCTAATCACGATTCAGTCCAGATGCATTTGGTGCTTCAGGGAAAGTCCTACACTGACCGGCTGAAAGAACTGAAACTCTTCAATCTTGAGCAGAGAAGACTACAAAGGGACCTGATCCAAGCGTGGGAAGGTCTCAGCTTACATGCGCGTGATATGCAAGTTTTTGATTTAATAAGCCTCAGGAATATACAACTTCTTTTTTTAGGGAGCTACGAGTCCTCACAGGAAATTTGGTGGAGTTTCCAAGACAATATACGTTAATGCGCCCGGTTCTGCGGCGGGGTGAATATCATTGCAAGGAAGACTGACAAGCCACAGCTCATCTGACATGATTTTTCGCTCACTCAATAAGTGTCATTATTATTAGCAGGCACATTATTTAGTCTGCTGAAAATAATGATATCGATAGAATGGAGAACCAGCAGCAGTCTTATTTAGGTATGTCCGTGCCCTGCTACTGCAATAGCTTTGCGAAGACCAACAATGCAACCACTTGTGAAAATGTCTCCCTGCCAATAGCTCTGCATGCAATCTATACTGCAGTCTAGACTGCTGATTGTCTACATGCAGTTTACTATGAAATGGAAGGTTTCCAATCAGCGCCCCCTTTCTTTCACTCTTTCATACCCTTCTTTCTTTTTGCACCATGGAACAATGCTAATGTAGCGCAGAACTTCATTACGGAAACCTGGGTTTCTGTTGTGACTGCTCCCCAACAGCCTGTACTTAATTTTTGCGTCTTTCATATTACCTTGAACGCTTTCCCGACGAGAGCGATGACTTCCCAATCCGTGACGCGACTAAGAGGCCCGGTGGTCTCAAACAGTGCCATCAGCAAGGTCGCAGCTTGCAGGCATAACTGGAAAAGGCTAATGCCACATCCTAACGCCAACTGTAAACTGAAAGTCTTATCAATGATCTCTGTAAGGTGGTTCACAGAACGTTTGACTGCAGCGTCACGCTTCCTGTCAAACGATACCCAGATAAGAATGTTAGGTGAGGGATGGTACGTGTTAGCGAAATTTCAAACATCACAGGAAGGCTCAACACAGGAGCGCCTCAAAGCGTATAGTGAGCTCCACGGCATCGTCTTTATGAGTCAGCTTCCGTGCCCCAGTCTGGGTATTTTTAGAAACGCGAAATACCTGCGGACAGTAAAATCCGAACGGAATGGGGAATCGAAGCAAGACTGCCGAGTCATCTAGAGATTGCCGGGGTGTAATAGAAAGGGACACCGCTGAGCAGACACTTCGCCGCCCCACAGACATGACGTGCTTGAATGCTCATTTCAAGTGCAGATAACCATGCAGGAAACAATCCAGGAGCTGTGCTGTTTCAGATCCCCCGCAAGGCTGAAACAGACACGTCACTGCGCTTTCAGCACTGGGACAGATGAAGCAGGGGTACAGTTCCGCAGGGCAAATTCAACCACATGAGACCTTGGCGTTTGCTTATTGCTCTTGTCTAAAAGCTTTGTTTTAGGTCTTTATTGGCCAATGTAAAAAAGCCATAAATGAAGTACAAAGAAATATCATTAAACAGTTATTTTCATGTTTTATTTCTTCCCCATTGTTTGTTTTACCCTTGACCGAATTAATCATTGTATGATTGGAGGAGGCAGAAATACATCATGTCCTATAAAATGCTCCTACGTTTACTGCATTTGTCTTAGTTTGCTCCATCTCTTTTAGCTTAACTATACTGGTGCCACCAGGGCCAAGTTTAGCTCTTTTAGCACATCAGCTTCCACCCTGGTCTCTGCGTAAATACAGTTTAAAATGTATTAGTGGTACATGTTAAATCTTGTTGGAAAAACTCAGACCTAATCCTTTCTTCAACTAGTAAGTCAATCTGAGTGAAGCCCCTTTCTCAAAGGTACAGCAGCAGCTTGTCACTGGGGGATTTGAACCCACAACCTTCTGATCCAGAGCCCAGAACCCAGAACCCCTCCTTGTTTTATATCGCTGTGAGGTTCTGCAATACTACCATGTGTGACAAGGTCTCTCCACAAAGGGCTGTGGCGATGGCGCAGAGGTCTGAAGGATCAGTTGGCGAGATTCACACCATCCGCTGTGGCAATAAAGCCCGATGCATCATTCGGGATCCCCGCCATCCCGGCCACAAGCTGTTCTCCCCCCTGCGCTCTGGTTAACGCGCGGAGCACTAGGCTCAAGAACAGCTTCTTCCATTGCGGCAGTGCGCATCCTTCACAGCTAACTGCAGTGCCTCAGGGCTCAATACACCTCTGCAGTCTGCACTTTTGACTTGCTCTACCATCTATTCTTGTTCTCTCTACCACTCTATCACTCTCTACCACTCTATCACTATTTATTATGTACAGTTTTGTAATGCACTGTCAACACTTTAACAAGTAGAGGTTTATTCCATGCTGAAAAGAGAAGAAAGGAAACAACGTTTCGGCTGTGGAGCCTTCTCTGTTGCAGCCTGCGCCTGCTGACGCAGCTACCTACTCTGTCTACTCTGTGTGGTGCCGTCTGTTATACTGTGTAACGTGCTGTATGTTTCACCACACAGACTGCATAATATTTTCCAACACACGCTGCCACCTTCACAAAACCAGACGGTAAAGATTTAGAAGTAAATCAGAGAGGTTCTGTGTCCAACAACCCACAGACCTAAACCAGCTAAGCCATAATAAAGTCACAGACATAGGACGTTACACAGACACCTAAGTGTGAGTTTTCTTTTAAACTTTAAGTTTTCATTGTAAAGGTATAGAAATTGTACAGGCCATACGGAGGAAAAGGACTTCTGCACATCTTGATTTTGGATCCTTTGCAACCCGTAATAAACATTAAGCACTGGACTTCCAGTTGTGGCCGTCAGGACACAGAAGCAGCTTATCAGCCAGAAGAAGCACTTGACACAAAAAGCTGAGTAATTATGCATTTTAGCAGGAGTATTTATGACTCTCCTTCAAATTAATTTGTGCACACTCTGCCACAGATAATTTTGTCTCTGTATAAATTAACTGGAATTGACAAATGAATTAATCAAATGAATTACCTTGGAAAAAGTCATCACTACTGGTAGATAATAAAAAGTACATTCTTCTGAACAGTGACATGAATTCCTCCCAGCTGGCCACAATAGCTATTAACCTTCTGCAGCCAGCCATCAATTACTTCTGTGATTTTCATGCATACTGTACACTTCAGGGGAGAGTTTGTGGAATGACTGACAAACACTGAAAAAGGACATTACAATGTACTAAATTGGACTGGAGACAAACATTCTGCGGTTTTATATGACCTACAGGAACAGGGACTGGTGAATGTTTTAAAAGGAGCAATTAATAACTGGGGTGTTAAATAAAATTAAATTGGATGAAATAAAATGTTTAAGAAACAGAATGTCTGAGTTCAGATTCTGAGGGTGCTCAGATTGCTAGCACTGCTCCAGTGCTTGACACTATTGAGCAGTGTGCCACTGTGTGCACAGACAATATCCTGCACAATCTTTCACAATCTTGGACTGAGCTTAGCAGACCGTGGAAAATCGCCCTGGTGGATGGGTGGCAGACAACAATTCCATATGTTTCACAGTAACAGCCTTGTCACAGTACATAAGGATGGACTAAACTAAAAAAAAGGTATGAAATTAAACCTTCTTTTTACACTGTGGTGTATCTGAAAAACAGATCGCAATACCATTTTAATCACTGCTTGTCCTTGTGCCGCAATACCTTAAACACCCTTTCAACTGTTTTCAATTGTTACATGATTCACAAGTCTTAACTGTAACTGGTTTTCCCCCAGAACTGAACAGGTTTGCATTTATCGCAACTACGCTAATACAGTACACCAACTGTCAAGAACTGCTGGCTTCGATTGCTCACCTTGAGAAGTAACGTTAAGCTTTACAAAACACCAGTAGGTAAGCTTATCGAAAGGCACTAGACACATCTCTCCTCTGCACGGGCTTGTCTGTTTTTACGAGCGATCCAGCTCTGCAACAATGTCGTCTTTTTAAAACAACTACTTGACGTGATCATTTTTCTTTTACATCAACGTGCCTCCTTATTGACAAGTGACAGTTTGTGCTCCTTATAGAGACGTGTATTCTGAAGAAAGCGTCCAGTTTCTCCAAACAAGTCATTAGAAAAACAAAACGCAATATTGATTTGTGATGAACTACACATCCGGATATGAATTAAACGGC